AAACAAATAAAATTTAATTTTTTTTTTGAAAAATGCAACCATCCCATCAATATTTTTTTATGACGTTGTCACGTTCAACTATCGTCAGTAAACCGACTTTACAGACAACCGATTTTTTTTTAATTTATAACTTATAAATTAAAAAAAATACGTGTATACTATCTTGGAGTTTAACTTCGTCGGAGACTGTTTTTGATAGAAATATAAGATATTATGTGTATTAGTAAAATTTACTAATCACAATAAAACGTCATAGGGTCTGGATCAACGCCATTTTGCCAGGAGTGTTTTGGTGGATTTTTGAAATTATGAATGTTTAATTTGAATTTTAAAAGCCAAACATAACTAAAATTTGTAAAGGCATATAGTCACTTAATAAATAATCTGAGTCACTTATACTAACATAATAATCCCTCCTCTTAAGGTGGGAACTGACCAAAGTTACGAGGTGTAATGTAGCATTCGCATCGAGCGTGTTACGCATCGCGCATGTTACGCTGTGTTCTTAAATCGGCGTAACATGCTCGTCAAAACTCTGTGCTCCACTTTCGCCGCCAGTGTTCACGAGATGTGATAGTGATAATGTTGATATCTTTCATTCTATTTAATTATTGTTTCATCCAAATTAAGAAGAAGAAAAAATGTTACTGGACATAAAACTTATTTAAAAACACAGGCGTATGAGGTGGTTTGTTATTGATTGCAATATTAAAAACCAAATGATTACTGGACAGTATAAAAACTTTGTACGCAGGTCTCGATTTTGAAGAACTGTTGAATTTAATTGGACCAAAAGTACTTAAAAAAGACACAATTTATAGAAAATCATAATCATGATCACTCGCGACGTGCGACGCGTAATTACTGAACCGCGTAACAGTCAAAGGATTCGCCAAAAAACCGACAGCCGGGTGGAGCACTCAAAGTGAGCAACGAGCGGCTCGTTGCTCGCTGGTTTCCCCGTAACACGCCGTACTGACTGCACGTATGCTCGCTGTGTAACGTGTTACATTACACCTCGTAACGTTGGTCAGTTCCCACCTTTAGAGCCCCACTCTGCTCGGTGTCTAGCTTTACGTAGCCATAGGGCCAGCTGCTCTACTTATATCTTCTTCCCATCTTTTCATTAGTCTTCCTCGTTTTCTTTTGTCATGGAGCCTTTCCGTCGCTTTTTTCGTCCATTTATCTTTGTCTTCTCTCATAATGTGTCCATTTCCATTTCAATCTTTTACTAGAAGTAAAAGTATTTTATTTCTTCTAGTTTTACTTTATCTTGCAATTACTTAGAAACTTTCGATACTATTTTGACATACTCTTAGTTTGTTTTCTTGTTTATCAGTGAGTGACCAGGATTGACATGCTTATGTCCGTCACGGTAATATACAGGCATCAAAGACTCTTGTTCATTTTTAAGTTTCTGTTTTTATTACTTTCAATTCTTAATTATTTCTAAGACTTAAATTAATCAATTATTTTTTATTCTTTTCGGCTATATGAGAACTACGCTTTGTCTACGTACGTCTCGAACGTGAGAAAGGCTCACTTCAATTAAGGGCGATAATTTGACGGGCTCTGACAGCTTATATTGTATTGAAATTGATTTGTGTTCAAAGTTGAATTCATTTTGACAGAATCAATAAGCTACTTTCTCGTGTTATTAACCACCTCAGTTCGTGCGTTTGGTTTAGACCAGTATTCAAGTTGTGAGAATTGGAATATTAAATAAGAAATGTTTAAGTCTTCGGAAGTCTTAAGGACCCTTAAAAATCAATGAAGCTTTCAATTACGCTTTTAATAAGTCTTTGCACGCATAGTTTCCTTGTCCTGTATATATAACTACAGTGGATAACATTATTGAAATCCGATTTAACGTCGTTAAATCTAAGTACCTTGAATTTAAGCATACTTTAGTACAAAATTCATGTGGCTATAGCGACTTTGTATGTAACGCCGATTTCGGGTGTAGCGACTGTTTTTAATGAATCATTTGCAACAAATTCCTAGACTAGAGATATTGCAACCGGAGTCAGCCGCCAAATAAACAAAGATTTATGTCTTTCACAAACATTTCTTATCTTTTGTTTACATCCACACAGATAGACAACCTTTACCTTTTATTTATAGATAGGTAAGCTAAGTAGGTAAGTAATCGTTTACATTTTTATTATTATTATTAAAGCTTTATTAATCCATACAACAATTGGTTTGTCTACATTCCTTAATATTACTATTAGTTAAGTTAGTATGAGTTTTAAACAAAATTAAAGTTAGATTTTTTATTTTATTTTTTAGTGGTCTAGTTTTTGTATGGAAAAATATGGAGTCTTTTACCCTAAAAGGGGTTTTAGGGTAAAAAACTCCATATTTTTCCATTTCTCTTTGTCTTGAGCAACATTTTCCAGTTTTCCCCCGCTAGTTCTACAATGTCATCTGTCCATCTCTTACTTTGTCGTCGTATACATCTCTTTCCAGTAGGTCCAGTCTCAAGCGTTTACATTTACTGTAGTTTATTACAGAAAAAATATAAACCAGAAAGTAATTGTTAGCAGTACTACATTAGCATAGAACGAATAGTTATAATTTTACTATTACTACATACAACTTAGCGCAAACTATGACAAATCTAACACGTTTCTGTCATATGGTTGCCTATTAACATTCGAGCATCAAGCGATTCTTCATCTGTACGATTATAATATTTAATTCATGTATTGGTAAAGGCTCTTTAAGGCCCTATCCCAGCACGAATTTCTGTGTCAGTGTCTCGAGGTGGACTGCGGGGCGCAGTGGAGAGCTGGAGCACTGAGGCGCGCCGGCCCGTAATAACAATTAGTTATGTAAAACATTAAATTAATGTAACTTTATAATTTTTTCTGAAATGGATTTCTTGGCTTGCGATAAAATATATCGTGTAAATTTCAAAATCATGTTTTTAAATTTCATAAAATGAATTCGAAGTTTCAAAAAATTGGCTATGTTTGGATTTTTTTTCTATCGGGCGAAGTTATTTAAATCGTGTATCGATCTTTCAAAATGGATACATAAACTACTTAACTCCATCATATATTTTTTCCATTCGCCCTACTTCAAATGGAAATAAACAATGTACTTTTTTGGAGTTTGGCGACCGGATAGGTCCTTAAGTAAAAATATGACCACTCTGCAATGCGGTTGAATTGTCGCGCAGACTCAGCTGGGCTGTAGCCCTATGATTGACGAAGAGAAAACGGGTGTTTGCAGCCGGAAATACCACTGCTAGTAGACAAACTCTTAATTTAACTATAATACCGCTACTAACGATTTATGACTACCTTAACAATAAAACGATACGTCTAAAACGCCCATCAACGCAGTTACCGACAAAACGAAGCGAGTAATTATAAAGAGAATGAAAACGCAAAGATCCGACATGACAGACAATATCGAAGATAACAAGACAGGTTAAAATTCCACTAATCGAATGTGGTCTTTATACTTGTATTTAACACGATTATTATTCTTAGAGGTATCGTGTGACTTGCATTTATTCAACGTGAGGTGTCGAACGTGATTGATTAATGACAGACTGGGTGAAAACAGAACGGCTACCTAATTAAATATTATTAAATGATTCTTTGTATGGGAGATAGTAATTATGTGATTAGAGTAGTCATAGAGTTTTTTTCTAGAACAGGGGGCAAACTGGCAGGAGGCTCATCTGATGTTGAGTGATACCGCCGCCCATGGACTCGCCAATGCCAGTGGGCTCGCGACTGCGTTGCCGGCCTTTTAGTAATTGGTACGCTCTTTTTTTGAAGGACCCTAAGTCGAATTGGTTCGGAAATACTTCAGTGGGTAGCTGGTTCCACATAGTGGTAGTGCGCGGCAAAAAACGCTCAGTTGTGGATCGACGGACGTCGAGGTGATACGGGTGGAATTTCGTATTCTGCCTCGACGTCTGATGACGAAACCCAGCTTCAGGTATTAATCCAAACAACTCCTCTGAAAACACTCCATGGTAAATGCGGTAGAAGATGCAAAGTGACCCAACATCTCATATTAGATGTTTTTACACTTTTCATCGCCATTGCACCGTGCAACCCTGTGTGTAATCCTGGGCACGCAGTTGCTCCAGCGGGGGAACAGGGGCTCATGCGTCCAAAAGAAGGGATGCTGACGCAAGCGCATCCCTGCAAGCATTGTACCCGGCCTCCCCCAGCTCTATAAAACAGGATGAATTGGCCGATGTGAAAGGCCAAGGTCCATTCCACATCATTCGTGGCCGTAGAGGACCGTATTATTAACGGTTGATCGCGTGGCTGGATGCGGACAAGGCTACGCTGTTACCGTGTCCTGCCCCGGGCGATTGCTGGTTGCGCCGTGGGGTTTTAGTGGGTATGCACAACAGCGAGTCCCACATCACCCTTCCCCAGGTCAACCATGCCGCGGGAGGGTATGCGTAACGCATTTCCCCACGAAAAAAAAAAATACACTTTACATAACTAAAACGAAGTTAATAAACTACTGTTCATAATAGCAAATTTTTAAAATACGGAGTGAAGCTATCACTCCAAGAAAATCTCTGACAATCAGTATATAATCATTTTTCATCTACCATTTTTGGTCAAACTTTTTGTTTTGTATTTTTTTTGTATGTTACTTTAATTAAATAAATATATTACCTCTCTTCTAAAATAAAGAGATTATAAAATTTACTACAGATGTATTACAGTATAAGGGTGACACATTGCGTAATTATTTTACTCTAAATAAAACCTAATACTCCATGTTAAAACCGCTATGTCACGGAGCCGGTAACAAAATTAAATATTTTTATTTATTTATGAAATAAAACTGGCCTCATAAAAACTAAATAAATGTCGTCCAAATATGTCAAAACTGCACAATGTGACGTCCAAGTGGTTTACCTCAAGTGATTCTTGATTTAAAGACGATCTCAATATCTTCCACGAATTGTTTAATGTTTTTGATATTATTTGTGAGTTTATTTACTGATTATCATGGTTTATTACTATACATCGAACAATGTGAAAATGTTGAGAAATATGATCATTGACTACGGAGCCAGTACGGAGGTATCTCCTTACGAATACATGAAAACTTATATATCAAAGTGTCCCGAAAATATTGAAGACGCCAAGTTGTCGTGGACCGCTGAAGCATTTTTGGGAATACAAAAACACGGCGAATTTTTAAAGGAAATTGCATCTTACATGTCCGAAGAATTATCAGAAGAGGATCAAGATTATTTCATTATTGTTTTCCACGCTATAACATTTCAAATTACCCCAACTGATATGTCATATTTGTACAAGTGTCTCTTCAATTTAAGTAAACCATTACTAAGTACTTTTACTAATTTTCTGAGTAACAATGAAGTTTTAACATATGTGTCGCAAGTAGCCCATAGTACCTATGACACAAATTTTATAACGCACAAAATAATTAGCCCTTTATTCAGTTGGCAACCATATATCAGTGAAATGGCTCATAACTATGCTGAATATTTGAAGAAAATTGAACGAAGGAAAATTAAACCATTGACAATACCCGTACAGCCCAATGTACTACGTAGAAAAAACCATTCTGACATAGGCCCTCTTCGTGTGCCAAGTCCTGTGCCTGACACTCCACCCAACTCAATGCAAAAGAAACGTCATAAGATGTTACCTAAAAGTGTTATCGATAAAAAACTTAAGAACATGCATGAAAAAAACCAATTTAAAGCAACACAGCTATTGCATATTGTCAAAACAAATAATTCAAATTTTGCTAAAGGAAGGTCCGAAAATTATTATAAAAAGCTATCCGATATAAAAAATGAAATGGACAATGAGAACAAGAAAACTGGATCGAATGTTGGTAAAAGAGCATTTTCTTTACCGAACACAGCTCCAACTATTAAAGAAACGACAGCTACGGTTAAAAGGATTAACACAAGAATTCAAAAGTCTCAAATTGAGGAAGTAAAATGGCTAGAAGACTTAATAACGAATTTCAGAGATGTTAACAAAATTGAACAAATGAAAGAGTACGATCGCCAAGAAAAAGAAAGAGAGAGACTACTTAGTATAGAAAAGAAGCATTTAATGGGACAGATTTCCCACGAAGAAGCTTTAATAGCAAAGCGAAAGTGCAAAGAAGAAAACAAAAAGAAACATGAAGAGTTTTTAAGAGAAAAACAAAATTGGGACGAAGAAATTGAGAATTGGAGAAAAATGGAAATGGAGAAAAATCGGAAGCAAGTAGAAAAACTCTCACTTTTAGAGTTGAACTTGATGGAAGCAAAAAATAACGCCACTCTCAAAAAGAAAGAAACAGCCTATAAAGTCAAAAAAGAAAATGAAGAAATACTGGCGCATGCAATGGCAGCTAAACAAGAAGAACTAGAAAGAAGATTTCGTGTAATAAAAGAGATTAAAATGTTGGCTGAAATCGCTAAAAAGGCGAAAGTTCCTAAAATAATAGACCTAACTGAGACGTCTGGTCTAGGATTACTATGTGAAATGTCCATGGCTGAACTTCAAGAAAGATTAAGCAACATGAAAATATGTTTCTGTGAAGAATTGGAAAATAAAAAGAAAAATATAAAACAGGAAAATTTGGCTGCAAAAAATAAATTAATAGAAACAAAGGAATCAATTAAAACTTACATGAATGAGCGTGAAACATTAAGAAAGGAAAAGAAATCTTCAAACAATGTACCACTAAATAGTACAACCTCTAAAGAAATAGGTGAACTGAAGAGAATATTGGACGAAAAACGAAAGCTTCGTGTTCAGTTAACTGTGTAAATTTGATACGTTATGGTTTGTAATGTTACATATATTTTATTAATTAATTATTGTTCGCTTTCTCTAAACAATTCTCATCAGTCATTTTATGATTTGGCATTCTGATAAACAATAAACTACAAGCTCCCCTTTCAGAATGCCAAATCATAAAATGACTGCTTCACGACTGATCTGAGAGCGACTGCCGATGCGAAAACCGCTGTGTGAGTTCGAAAAGTGAGTTACAGAATCGCAGGGCTGTCTTCATCAGCTGGGTTCTGATAGTTACACTCTGCTAGACTACACTACACATAGTGATCGTTTAGTTCGTATACAAAGTCCCGTTTTTATTAGTCTAATCAGTAAAGTTGTTCGTTAAACCCGATATGAGATAACAGTTTAATGGTTATTAGCACCTTCAAGTTTATTGAATTTTACCGACACGATTTTAACTTAAAATAAATAACTCGACTTATTACGAAAAGTACCAAGAAATAGGTTTTATTGATATTTAAACATTCTCAAACTGTTGTCTTTCTATTTCTAATATATAAAATTCTCGTGTCACGGTGTTTATAATTAAACTGCTCCGAAATGGCTCGACCAATTTTCGTGAATTTATTTGTGCATATCGGTTAGGTCTGCGAATCAGACAACATCTATTTTTGATCCCCCTAAATGTTAAGGGTCCACCCTTAATTTTAATTTTTAAAGATTTTTTTTTATGGTACAGCATACCATAGGTACTTAATTTTTACCCCTCTACGATGAACCCCTGTTTTTTATTATAGTAGATAGTTTTTTTATTGAACTTGAAAAAACGATTCCTAGAAATAATATACATGGCAAAACATATGCCGGATCAGCTAGTACAATTATTTAATAAATATAGTTTAAAAAAACTAAAAAACACGCTTTTAAAGCACGGGTTGCTCGATAGACGAAAAATATGGCACAAGCCACGCTTTTTCACAATAAAACCAGTATTTTTTGTTCATTACCATTTTCAGCCTAAATTAGGAATTATTTTTCACGTTTTAGTTTGATGTGCTTTAAAAGCGTGTTTTTTAGTTTTTTTAAACTATATTTATTTTCCACTTTTTAGTCCTTGCAGCAATACGTGTTGTCTCAATTTAATCGTATTGCTTTGTGGACTTAAAAAAATTTCATTGTTTTTTCGAGATAAACCTATGAAATTATTATATTGTCGCTGATTCTTTATAAGTGTACAAAGTTTGAATTAAATCTGTCCGTTTAATGTGGGTCAAAATCGAGTCCGAAGGAGTCGGTTACATACATACATACATACATACATACATACAAGTGAAGCTAATATAAAGCGTGTAAAAAAGCATTTCTCTTTGGATAGTTTTCGATTTCACGTGCTAAGCATTGCCTAAATGAATATTACTACGGTTGCGTCAGAAAAGACCGATTTAAAATATTTCTTTAAAGAAAAATATCTCTCTATTCCGTATGTGCAATAATGAAAATAGTCTAACCATGTCATATGTCTTCATATCAACACAAAATGAAAGTTATAAACCCCTCAATCGATAAACCATAAATTATTTTCAAATGATGGCATAATGGACAGCCAGATCCCGACAATAGTACAAATAACGTGACAATTTCTCGATATCCAAAAACCTAGTCAATATAATTTGGATTAGGGTAATAAATAAGACGAGGTCGCCTGTTCATTTGTATCGGCGTATAATTTAAATTCTTTAACGCCAATGTTCAAGATTACGCGGGCCGATAGAGGCGCGGGCGCCCGTGTCGCCTTGACAACCACCAAATAAATTTATATTTCCGACCGATACCGACTCCTCTCTTTGTAGATAATTCGGTCTGTAGCGTTGAATGACTCTATTAACAGCTTCCCTTTTAGGGATAAATGTACCTGACCTCTGAACGTGTGGAATTAAGATATTTATTTCTGTGAACAATCTTGTTAATGGAAAGTGGTTTACAGTATATCATGCCAGAGTTTTGAGTGAACCTTTGTCATTTCTTTTATTAGTAGTGTTACTTTTTTTACGTAGTAGCTTTATTTGTTATTGCGATGAAAGTTTATGTATAAATTCGTCATTTATTGCAAGAATATGGTACAAAAATTTGTCTTAAGGAATTTAACATTTTACATTATTAGTCAAAGTCAATTCTTATTTTATTTGTATCGTACATGTACAAGAACTTAATTTAATAAGTATAAAAAATTGGTTAATCTTGAATCTAAGAAGTCAGCTAAAATGGAGTTTGGAAATTGTTGTATTTTAAATGCAGCTGAAACATTCTCAACATATATTTTCTTAATTACAAATACACTTTTGGTCAATTAAATCTGAATCCAATCCTTAAATAATTAAACAATTTCACTTAGCGTTTCAATTAATACAGTTGCTTAAAACTGATTTTTATAACAATATTTTACAAGAGTAATTAAAAAAACTCTGCCTAATTAATGCCATACAAATGCGAGTTCACAGTTTTATCTGGGTAATTTAAAGATACCACGAAAAAGGGCTATTGGAGATTCATCCGATAAGAGTAAAGCGTCAATAACAACCTAATTGGGCGAAGACACTCTGCCCACAATCGTCGTCAAATAAATAAACAGGGATAATTTGAGTGATAACATAATGGATATTTTCGGACCTGATTTGGACATTTCAATTGCATACATGGGCGTTCATACATTTAGATTATTGTTAGTGTTAATGGTTGGTAATATTGTCTAATTTTATGTCTTTATTTTATTAAAGTGCGGAAGAGTTTGATTGAAGGTGATATTCTAAGGAAGTACTGGTTTAAATTGAATAAATAACGGAACGTTAATCTATATATTTATATATATTTAAGTTTTCTTTAGTAAACAAGAACGCAGATGCACCTGATGTTAAAAACAACTCACATGGACTCTCACAATCACAGAAGACTGCCGGGTGTGTTGCCGGTCTTTTAAGTATTGGTGTGATCTTTGGTGGAAGGGCCCTAAGTCGAAAAGGTCTGGAAATACGTCATACGCTGTTTCCACATAGTGGTGGTGGGCGTCAAAAGCTAGCCTTAAACCGCTCAGTTGTGGAACGACGGACGTCGAGTTAATACGGGTGGAATTTCGTATTCTGCCTCGATGTCCGATGATGAAACTCAGCTGCAAGAAATTCAACAAATTACGTAAATTAGTAGCTACTTCAGCAAATATTACAACTTATGTCAACGAACCATAGTTTTTCTGGCTTTAACAAAATCGATATATAAAATACATTCTAAAAGAAATGCTGTTCTATGTGTGATCCTACTTAACATATAACAATAACAATAATAGCCTTTAATTCAGATACTTTTACATTTAAACATATTTCTATTTTAATCTTCTATTAGGTATCTGTGTGCCCTTTTTTGGCAAAGGCCTCCTCCAAATCCCGCCATTCCTCTCTGCGTGTAACACCAGCTGTTTCTTTAATTTAGTCTATCCACCTAATTTGTCTTCCTCTTTTTCGTTAACGTACCTTCGGCACCAGTAGTACTTATTTGCTCAACTTTCTGTTCCTCTTGCCATGTGCCTCCACCCACTAACACTTTAATTTATTTATTTTTCTTGAAACATCTGGTACCTTCGTTGTTTTTCTTAAAGCTGTATTCTTTATTGTCTTTTCTTTCCTATCATAAATCGTTACATCGAGATATGACACACCTGTAGCTTAGCACATATTAAAACATAAATGGAGACACAAGGATGGGGATGTTCAGGTGGTTGGTTCATGTAGAACAGATGAATGAGAAGCTGTTAACAAGTAGGATATAGCAACCGTTGATGGTTAAATTGGGTTTCGTAGGTCTTGTCACATACTTGGACCAAATCCACGAGGTACTACTGAAGGGACAAGTTAAAAGTACTTAAAACCGACGAATGCATGGTGAGTCAAGTCAAGTCAAAATCATTTATCCATTTAGGTAACACAATGTACAGTTCTCAAATCAAGGGCGTAGAACGGAGGAGAAGAACTGGCAATAAACTCTCCGTCACTCTTTTTAATCGCCAAGTTTTTTTGTTTTACACAACGTTTGTAAGGAGCTGCAACCATTACACCATGACATCCTTAGTAATAAACAATAATAAAATAAATTAAAAAACAAAGATTTGTCCTTTATCAGCGGGAGGCATGGCGAAATAGGAGGACGCACTTACATTCTCGTGGGAACAATACGCAAATACATAGTCGAAATAACAACATCACCGCATACACGAATTCAAGTACGACCAGTCACCACAAGTAGCACCCGTTCACGAGTATGACGCATGGCCAGCCATCGGCCCTCTCGCCATATTTTTGGGAGAGAGACAACCCGACGCATATCATGTGAATATCATGAAACTGGATGAAGCGAGGTATGTGAGGATCGTAGCAAGTGGAGATCCGTGGTCTCGTAAAAAGGATATAAATAAAAAGCGCATGATTTAAGTGTTAAATAGTATATCTGCTCATGACTTTATCTACTGTGTGGATATAAATTTTAAATTATCGCGAAAACCCTTATGCACTCTTCTATGTAAATGTCATGGTGCAATAAATATTTTAATGCGAGGGAATAAGGAGCATTAAAGATTAAAACCAGTTTATGACGATTCACATGCAACGACGCTATTACACGGGCAAGAGTTTCAAGCGGGAAGAGCTTTTCAACAATGCTTAACACAAGGCTTAACAATTAAGCCACTGCACATTACCTAAGGTAGAAAAACGGTTTCCTTGGACCAGAAGTAGACGAGAATTTCCTTGTCCTCGTACTCGGGCCGTCGCATTGTACGTATAGCCCGGGCTAACTAAGACAGCCTAGCTCCTTGGGCACTTCGCAGGCTTCACGGAGCGACCTCACTGCTCCGAGGATTTTAACATGTTGTTTAGCCACAGCCTCGCATTCCAGAACTACGTGGGTACTGATTCCTCTACGTTGAAACTTCCTCTGCACATGGATCTGTCGCGCCTAGGACAAAATGATGTTTATTAAGGAGA